AGAGAGAGAGAGAGAGAGAGAGAGAGAGAGAGAGAGAGAGAGAGAGAGAGAGAGAGAGAGAGAGAGAGAGAGAGAAAGAGAGAGAGAGAGAGAGAGAGAGAGAGAGAGAGAGAGAGAGAGAGAGAGAGAGAGAGAGAGAGAGAGAGAGAGAGAGAGAGAGAGGAGAGGGTTTATTAACATACATTGTATACCCAATAATCAACAACCCAAAATAACCTATAACAACCACAAGTCTATAAACTATACACACACACACAACCAGTATACATGTACATATACAACCAGTTCACATATACATGTACACACACGCCCGCCCAGAGAGCCACCCAACCTTGACTCAATCAACTATACAAACATTTTTATAATACCACTCATATTCACTGATTAGCTCACAACTAATTGGATTATGTACTAGAACGCAAACAAGATTAAGACGGATTAGGAACCAGTTCAGAGGACCCTGCGGGCTTTAATCTCAGTGGTTTCACATAGCAGCTCATCGTACACACGAAACTTGATACTTACACGTAGCAAATCTTGCAGTGTTAAAGTTCAAATTAACATTGCTACCATATTACTAATGGTGAGTGGTGACAGAATAAACACTTTGTAATGTGTACAATGTACATCCATTACTTATAAGGATTGTACCATAGCTATATCTGGTATTTTTAGATATACCTAGTTTAAGCCAATCAAATCCCTGTACTATATAGCCCATGGTTTTTCCAAAAAAAGGCTCCGAAATCACCCCAAATTTTTATTACATTTTCTGATACATATTGATGTTCTTATGATGTGTAGAAAGTTTGAGCTGATTCCAATACATAAATTTTGAGTTATGAGCATTTTAAAAAGGGGCCGTTTTCTGAAAAAAAGCAAAGACTAGCCCTGGATACAAATAGATGGATACTGTTTGTTAATGTTATAATAATGAACTCTCTCAATGGTCACGTAGAGTGTATATTTTATACATTAATGTGGAATTTGACACTATAAACAGTTTATAAACAACAAAATATTATTATTACATTAGAATAGTTGGCTATACACAACTAGTAACAGTGGCACAATACTTGCAGAATGATGTTCAATAAATCATGTAAATAACAACTCCCACACTATTATTGGATATGCTCGTTGGCTATCAATATATACCATTATTAGTGAAAAATATACAGACCAATCAGTATCAGTAATGTAATACCTGAGTCCCTTGATATCTGCCCTCAGCTTCACCTCAAGCAGATATCTCAGTCCTCAGGTATTACATTACTTATACACACACACCCCTCCAGACAGGACGGACTACATGTACATGTATTATATGATCGACAGCTGCTACATGAGAGCTTACTCCAAATAATGCCCCTTCGTGTAGTATCTTTGTTGTTCTGTAGCACTTTTTCCCAGTGGCTGGGTCTTCATCTTCGACGTTAACAAAGACACTACCTGATATTATAAGGTAGCTGAAGAAACTGGGATGACCTGCTTTTAGAATCACTTGCCTCTCACTCACGCTGCATAGGAATGAGAACATAGGAATGAGAATATAGGAATGAGAATGAGAACATACAGTTATCTTACATGTACATGTAAATCTCAAGGAACAAGAATAGGAATGAAATTACGGGAATGAGATTTCTCTTACATTGTGTACTGACAGCAGCGGCAGTACTCCTCTTGGGCCGAGGAGGACAGTGACTCATGGAATGCACTTAAATGCTTAAATAAAGAAACGAGTTTCTTAATCTTTGCTGGACTCCTAAAATAAGAATAATAATAAGAATAATAATAATAGTAATTTCCTATTTTAATTATCTTGCCTCAGTACAGGGTCTTCCTCCATAGCGAATCTTGCCCAGAGTGGTATGGTGGCATTGCAAGATGTCTTCTGAGCAAACTCTGCCTTGTTGAAAGTCATTGTCTTTGTAGAGAAAGCAGTATACTGGGAGTAATAGTTCAACTATAACAGAGAAGGATTATACATAAATCAAAGGAAGAATCATTTTAAGAGTACCCAATTTCCTTGTCGCAAAAATCCATGACAAGCAAAATTCTCTTTTCATGAAATCCATGACAAGCAAAGTTCCATTGTCACGAAATCCATGACAAGCAAAAAACCCATTGTCATGAAATCCCTGACAAGCCCAGAGGCTTTGAAAAATTCATAAAAAATTCAAATTTGATCAGAATCAGCTCAAACTTTCTATACAACATAAGAGCATGTATATGCATCAAATAGAACTATAAAAATGAAGATTTCTCTTCTTTTCAATTTGACAAATACATGTACATGTAACTCCTGCTATAGTTTTACCAAATAAAAAAAGATCATTATGAAGAATTATGTACATACTTAATGGCACATGGCCCACAAATTCATTAAACTAATTAATATGTGCCAATCATCAAGAAATTAGTCCTCCATAATACCAGCAGACGTTACATACCTCAGCTAGAGTCTGTGGTTTATTTTGAAAAGTTTGTTTCTCTTTTGACTCCTTTATCAATAATCTGATCCTAATGACGATTAGTAATAAACGAAGACAAGACCGCCTCTTCTTCATTATCTGATAATAATAATAATGATAATTATTTAAAATTCAAAATTTCCCTCATATACCTCCCAATGACATTTCACCTCCTTAAAGTCCAGTATGGAATAGAACCCCCTGTCGCTTGATAAAATGATTGAGTTCTGTGAGCGGAACCAAAACCTCTTCCCACTACTTGACTTAAGAATCATTCTTTTATTATTATTATCACTGCTGCTAGTGTCTCCAATGGAGTCTGGGCAGCTGCTCAATTTACGAAGCGTCACGTGATGAAACTTAGAATGCCCGAGACCACAAGCCCTCTTATCAGTGATGAAAGAAAACCCACAGTTACTAGAGACTGAAGAGGCTCGGTGACCAGAACATGAAGATGATTTGGATAAGGGCCGTCCTCCTTGAGGTGAACCGGATCTCTTTGAGGTAGGAGTCGGCCATCTCTGAGGTGAAGTCGAATGACGGCGTCCATTAGCTGAGTTTGGGACTGAAAGAGACTGAGAACTGGAGACAGAACTTGACCAACCAATGGAAGAGGTTCTCTTCTCTCGTCCAATTGGAACTGAGAGAGCACCTGACTGAGTTCCGGAGCTCCTCCTACTTCCACTAGTAAAACCAGACACTGAATTATTCCTTTGAAGATAGAGAAATAACATTAAAAATGAATTAACTGTGCTTTAATATTAAGATATGACATCTATCAATTTTAAGCAAAGATAATTAAGCAGAAATCATTTAAATACAACAAAATGTGGAATATTAAGTAAAATATAAATCTATGAGAACAAAATGTCTAAAGTACCTTGTATAAGAAGTGGATTGTCTCCTCTTTATGGGTGGGGCAGATAAAGACCCTCTCCTCCTTGCAACATTGGTAGTTTGATTAGTTACTGATACTGTAATGGATACTACTGAGTCTTGTTGAGTAGGAGATACGGAAGGTGCTTTACTAAAAACCTTATCAAAAACCTTTACAGGAGACGACAAAGAACCTGAATAAACTGTTGAAGTTTTAGCATCTTTAGTACTGATATCATTAGTAGATCCACCATCAGCCTCAGTTGACAAAGACTTTGATTTCTCAGTAAATGATAATATTTCATGATTTGGTACTTGGTGTGGCGACTGTTCTTTAGGAGGTGGAGCAATGGGTGTGGCTTCGATTGCTGAATCAGTATCGGCAGATTTCAATAGCATGGGCGGTCTCCATAGCAACGGAGAGGGCGTTGGAATTGTTTTTGGGTGATTGATATCTATCAGATGAGGAGAATGAGAGAAGAAGGAAGGAGGAGTAGGAGGAGGAGGAGGAGGGGGAGAAGGAAGGAGTGAGAATAACTGCAAGAAAGGTTTCTTCTCCAATCCTCCATTTTTAATCCTTTCATGGGCCATTGTACAGCTGTATCTTGTCTTTAGTCCAACAATACACCATCAAATAACTAGAGGGAGAGGAATAAACCTGGTACTATCATTTGGAGCTGTGACTTACTGGTTAAGGTGTGATTCTGACACTTCAGATAATATTGTGTTAATCTCCATAATTTAATTTAGGCCTGAAAATACCACGTGGTATAACTTTAATTTTATAACTACATAACTTTAATTTATAACTACCCATTCCTAATTTATAACTAGCCACGCCTTTAAAAGTCTGTTTCCAATTCCTGCCCCGCCTATGCGTCTCACCACGCCTACACTAATAAGATCGCTCATTCGCTCGACCTAAGTCAGCTGAAGAAATTCCTCTTTACTTTTATACTCTTTCTCTCTCCCTCTCTTTCTGCTGGCCCTGATCTCTTTCTCTCTTATTTGCAGGTATTGTGCGTATGCTTTCATTCCCTACCATCTCTCCTTCTTCATAGGTACTTGCCTTCTCTCTCCGTCCACTTTTAATGTACCCTCCGTTCAGATAAGCTCTCAGTCTCAAAGCAAGCGTGAGTGTCCCCACGTTAGTAGCTGTAGCATTGTTTGTTAGTATCCCGGTGCATCCAGCTGAGCTAATGCACAGTTTATGATAGTAACTGGATAATGTATAATGTGTCATTGCTCTGTATGGTGCAGTGGCTGTTAGACCCGTTAAGTGACTGTATTTTAAGTTGTCTTGCTTGTTTGCAAGTTAGAGAGAGAGAGAAGGAGGGAGGGAGGTGGGTATCTTATGAAGGATAGTTTAAATGCTTTTGTATGTGTGTGTTTGTATAATTAGGTACATATTGTAATTTAGTTAAAGAGTGAAATTTAATAAACTCACAGTGTATCTTAGTATGTTTCTATGTTAATCACCAGCTTAATCGCATAAGAACTATATCCTATCTCTTTGTGTGTGTAGTGTATCCACGTACAAGTATGGAACTACTGCCATGTCTCTCGTTTTCTTTGTTAATGTGATACCAATTATCACTAAATTTGTAATGGCATCATTTATCTTGAAAGGAAGGAAGAGAGAAGGAGAGAGAGAGAGGGGGGGGGAGGAGGAAATTCCTACCATACTGTTTTCATTGGATCCAGTTAACTTAAGCATTCACACACACACATAGTTGATCAAGTTTTAAAAACATTTAACAGTTTTGTTTACTAACTACTAGTAGTAACTTTTAAATACTTCTTATCTCCCCCCTCTCTCTCTCATCTTTTATGCCTCTAGTATGTCGTCAGTACCTTCTAAGTCTCGTCCTCCTAAGCCACCGAGAATCAAGAAAGGTCCTTCGATACCCAATGGACACATCGACAGTGACAATCCTCAGGCTTCTCCTACTCTACCCTCGTCTACCATTGTTCCATCGTCACCCACCGTTGTGCCATCATCTGCTCCATCATCCACAGTCTCTCCTTATAAACCTGATGGTAAGCCGGGACGAGCAACTTCATTACAAGCAGCTGCTACCATATCTAAAGCACTTCAAAAGATAAAGAAAGTTGAAGATGAGAAGGCACTCAAGCAGCAGCTGGAGGAACAGGACAGCACGGCTTTATCAAGAACCTCTAGTGACAGCAGTAGAGATGATCCATTTGTAGTTGGTGATCAGGATCTATCAACAAGATCACATCATATTGATTCCTTGACACAAGATAATGCATCTCAACCTTCTCCGTCGCAATCCCCACGAGTTCCCTCCAGTCCCAAACCAATCCCGATTATTCCTAACAGAGGAGAAAGGAGAGAGAGAGGTCGAGGAGGAGAAGGTGAAAGTTCATTTGACGGAGGAGCATCTGTTCCTTTATCTGTTGGTTGTAGTTCTAAGTCGCCTCTCTCTCCAAAGAAGGACAAGAGAAAGGAAGAGAATGAGAGGAAAGGGAGTCTTAGTTCCTCCGGCAGTGTTGGTAAGAAACCTCTCCTCCCTCCATCTTTAAAAGTAGCCCCTCCCCGCCCACCTTTACTGGCACGCCCACTGCTGTCAGCCCGGTCTCTTTCAACTAGTGAAGATTCAAAACAGTCACAAGATAGTCACGTGACTCCGCCTAAAGGAAGTGCAACTAGCAATCCTGACGAAAGAAGTAAATTTACATTTTCTTCTACTGAAACAGCCGATTCCTCGTTGCCTAGTAACAATACTCAGACCACACCTACAAAATTAACAAGTGGGGGTGTGGTCACTGACGAGACTATGGATAGAGGAGGCGAGTCAGCGTTTTTAGAAGAAACCGATGGATTGAAACTAGGTAACAAGAAAAAGCTGACACCCATTACCACACCTCCTAAACCACTCCTCCCATCCAAACCAGGTACCAAGCTGCACAAGGTCAATATTAAAGGTGATGACTCATGGATTCAGCGTAAAACCAACCAATCAGAGTCCCCGCCCATGTCAAAGGTTTTGTCTGGAAGTAGTGAGAGGGTTTCCCCTTCTACTGAAAAGAAAGGACTCACAGCATCTTTGTCAGTTCCATACCGGAGCCATGCCATCATTAGCCCAGGGACTAAGAGGCAGAGTACGACCGAGGCACTGCTGAAGGATAAATCAAAACCAGTGGTTGGACCCTCTGGGGAATATTACCCACCAGCTGTACGGTCAATCACTCCGGAGCCATTTAAAGGCAGCAGTGATACTCGGATCAAAGAAGAGGAGGAGGAGGAGGAAGAGGAGGAGAGAGATAGTCTGAAGGGTATTAAGAGGTTTGCTAAGTATCGACGCTCAAATAGTTTCAGTGGAGACGCTGACAAGAGACTCAGACCTGTCTCAATGGTGGACCCTAACGTAAGTACAACTGGTAATTGTGGAGGGGAAGTTTTGGCAAATTTTCATTTTTAAAACCATAATGTAAAGAATGCATTTCTTTGTTTACATGTACTTGTATCATTAATTACATTTCTCCCTTTGACATTTCAGCATTCAAATAAGAAGTTGATTGATCAAAGAGGCACTCTACAGCATCAGGGGATGTCAGAGTCCACCATAGTGACATCAGAGCACCAGGTACACCTCACCACCACCACCTCTTCAACAAACACGCACACACCAGCTGCTAACACTATAATCAGGATAGTCTATAGTCTAAAGATAGAAGCATATCAGCTCATAATATTTGACCTAAAACAGAAGTCACTAAAGCACATTCTAATGTACATTCACACACGGACCTTAGTAGCTTTATGTACATGTACATGTGTATTATTTATATTTTTATTTTTATTTATTTATAGTTCTTGATCTCTTTTATTCATTAGCTTGTTATGCTTGCTATGTATGTGTATTAGCTGGAAAATATGAATTTAATAATAATACATTAATAGGAAGAGCAGCTGGCACTGATTTGTAATTTTAAAAATAGCCATGCAGTCACTAGAAATGTATTAGCTAAGTATATTAGTATATCACATTATTTATTTATTTATTTATTTTATTGGTGTTAATGTTGCTTCATTGTTGACATAGTCCTGTATTAAGGGACTTTTCTTATTTTGCTTCTGTCAGCTGGTGGTTACACTATTCATGATTCCTATTATTGAAAGTGCTGACTCAACTGTTTGTTCAGTGATTATCTGCACTATAATGCCAAGTCCACTCCCCTTATGTACAATACACTGCCAATATTAAATGTTTACAATATTTATATTCTTTTTGCTGACTGTCAGTCTGTGGGTAGTGTTTTCTTAATATTTACAGTCTCTTTGTCTCTCTACAGAACAAGAAGCTGTTATCCAAAGCAGCTCGTGGCTCAATAAAGAAGAAAGGAGTCTTTGGTTTATTCAGAGGAGGAGGGAAACAGAAAGAAGAGCAGGCGGAAGGTACAGTGTACATGTACATGTACTGGAAGTGAGATTGTTGGATTGTGTACATTTAAACAAATTAAAATTGAATGTATCACTAAATGCTAGTATGAACATACATGTACAGTATACATGTATATGTACATGTATGTACATGTATGTTGATGGTTTCAGTTACCATATGATGTGCTTATATAAATAACTGTAAATAATTGTTTTGCTGTACATGTACATCTCCGGAGGTTGAAATTGAAGTTTTAATTAATTTTGTAGAAGAGGCTGAAGTGGGTGGAGATTCAAGCGAAGATGAAACTGGCGGCACAATAAGTAAGTGCATGTACATGTTTATTGACATTTTTGTAAATTGCATTTTATTGTTATTATTTTAATAGAGAGAATGCCAAAGGGAAAGGAAAGGGTGAGTGTTTCATTTATAGTGTCTATTACTGACAATTGGAACAATGTACATGCTCTATTGGACTAATGCTATAAAAGAACTATATCCCATTACTAATACTTGCACATGATGCATATTAATGTACTTATGCTGTGTAGAAAGTTTGAGCTGATTCCGACTTTAACTTTTTAAGTATGATCATTTTTTTTAAATGGGCCATTTTCTGAAAAAATCCCTGTACTATAGCCCATGGTTTTTTCCAAAAATTGGCTCCGAAATCACCCCCAATTTTTATTACATTTTCTGATACATATTGATGTCCTTATACTACATAGCAAGTTTGAGCTGATTCCGACTTCAATTTTTAAAGTTATGACCATTTTAAATGAAGGACTACATGTATAAACATAGTACATGTAATTATACTTTACTACTTACATTATGTGTATATGTACATGTATGTGTGTGTGTAGGTTGATGAACCAGCTTCTGAACAGGAATATCCTCATCTCTTTCAGTATGTGTTTGTAATGGGACTGACTGAAGGTATTCCATCATACGTCACTGACTCTCACCTATTGACTTCATTTTAGATCCGTCCACTAAAAAACTCAAGACCCAAATCACTTACCAGTATCCGCCACCTGTGAGTTAGCCACACCTACCAACCATACCCTAACTAGTATACTGAATAGTCTAGCGAGATTGACAAAGAAGATAAACCAATTTTAGGTTCTCTTGGTCAGTTTTGTTTCCCTGATCTCCAGCAGTGGAAACCAGTCGTCCATTATACCAGGTACGGCTTTATGATGCAATGTGTTAATTAACTTGTTTCAATAAAGTGAGAGTTATTCATTCGTGCTGACTAACATTGATGCTTCAAGGAGATACGGATACTGTAGGAGACTGTTGGTGAGTTTTGGAGGGAACTCTCCACCTGTTTCTATTAATTATTAAATATCTTATGTTTTTAGCCTGATGGCAAGTCGCCACGGTTACCCGAAGTCTATTGCATCATCAGTCCTCTTGGCTGCTTTGATCTTTACGCTAAGGTAAAGGCCCCGCCCACACACACTGTCATGTGATCTTCCGTTAGATTCTGGACATTGTGGAGCAGAGGAGAACTGTGTCTCAAGTGGCTGTGTTCACTTTCCTAAAGAGCATCAGCGCTAATCCATTCCCAGCACCTGTAAGAAGGAGATAATTGTGTTATGTCAAATATCCTTCTCTCTCTCTCTCTCTTTAGGGCCAGTCTGTTTCAGTTAAAGTCATACCAGTTAGTTTAAATATCTTTTAAATGTGCATAGATCTGTTCTTTACAGGCTAAAACTGGTGATCTTGAAACCATTAAGCTCAGGAGGCCCCCCGACTCAAGACTAGAGCATGTAAGTGGTACCCATGTTTATACCGGCTCTGTTTTAGCACTTGTATGTTTCCATGACAACCCACAGGTTGACTTCTCCGTCCTATACAATGTCCTTGGACCGAAAAAAGTAAAAAAAATTAATAAAAATTAATTAATTATAATGAGAGAGTGATATTAATGTACATGTACATGTACATGCACCAGTCAATTATATTCTCTTTTTTAAAGCTCATAAATGTCTTTGCTTCTTTGCTGATGGAGCGTAGGGTGATACTGGCTGCTCAGAGACTGAGGTAAGGACACAGGTCACATGAGAATCACGTGATCTCTCTCTCTCTCTCTCTCTCGTAGTACCCTCTCCTCTTGCTGCCACGCCCTCTTAGCCTTACTCTATCCTTTTGAATGGCAGGTGAGTTTATTAAATAGATACATAAAGAAGACTTTGGATTAATTGCAACAAGTGACATTACATTGCAACTGTGTCCTTTATAAAAGTGGCTTATGTCCTCTCTCTCTCTCTCTCTCTCTCTCTCCTCCTTCTCCAGCATACTTTCATTCCAGTGTTACCTGATGAGCTGATTGATTTCTGTGGTTCACCTCTGCCCTGTATATTTGGTATCAGTCCTTCAATGGTTAAGAAACTGGATCATCTAGAAATTGAAATGGAAGAAGTAAAAATAAGCATTATTCCATGCTCTTAAAGTTTTTAAATGTTAATTTTTTCAGGCTCTTGTTGTAGACTTGGATAAGAGGAAATTTGTCAGAAAGGTGAGTCGTAATTTTGTATGGTTACCCATTGAAATTTTTCCTTAACCACAGTTCGACGATGAGTCCTCAATCCTGCCTAACAAAGTGTCTCAGTTTCTCATTCACATGTTGGTACGTCCTTATAAGGAAAATTAATACATGTACATGTACTTTTATGTTACTATAGGATGCAGCTATCATTAAGAACGCTTACAGTAGACCAGATAGAAAAGGTGAGCCTCCATTTTAAATCACAAAATGTACTTTTCTGTACACACTATGCGTACACCTACATGTGTACAGCTACTTATAGAAATTGAATGTGTTTGTTTTTATAATTTGTTTTTATTATTATTATCGTTGTTGTTGTTGTTATTATAGGCCATGCAAGAGCTGACGAGATCATTGTCAATGCCTTCATGACCGTCTTTGCTTATTTCTTTGGAGAGTATAAGCAGTACATGTCAGTGAAGGACACAAAAACTAGAATGAGAGAACTTCAGGTGAGAGAGAGAGAGAGAAAGAGAGGGAGGAGGAGGGAGGGAGCAGCTGCCAATTTTTGGACCAATTTATCAATAATATTTTCTCTTTTCCCAAACACTGTTGAACAGCATGGGAACAATTGTTTGTGTACTGGGCGGCTGATAATTAATGGTTGCCTAGCTACACTCAAAGAGCTACCAAAGCAAACAGCTTTGTCTATTAGCAGCTGCTAAACATTCACACTTTTATCTTTCTTGTTTTAATTTACTGCAGAAGAAAGACTTTGTGAGCAGCTTTAATTCAAAGTCAACAAAAAGGGTAGGAAAGAAAAGCATTATTATTATCATTGTTTAATTATTTTATTATAATAATTGTTAGTTTTTAAATGCTTTCATGATGACTCAGATGTTTGACAAGTGGATCGAAGAGCGGGAAGATCCACGTAAATCAGCAGCTGTAGCTGAGGGTGAGCCTTTCATTCTCTACTTTCTCTAACGTCTTCTTTGTTAGGTTTGTTTGAAATGAAACTATCCGAGTTGTATGAGAGAAAGCAAGAAATTGAAATGTAAGTCCAGCTGCAAATGTTGAATTATTTTATTGTTATTATTACTTCTAGTTTTAGTTCAAAGAGACGGCTTCCATGGAAGAAGAAGTCCAGTAACACTTAGCTTGCACTAATTATTATTATTATTATTATTATTATTATTATTGTTGTTGTTGTTGTTGTTGTTGTTGTTATTATTATGCTGTGTATAGATAGATGTCATATCAACAGTTATTTTTGTTGTCGTGAGTGTTATAAAACTTCATTTTATTGTCATTCGTTTTGAATCTTTTTTATTGCAAACTGACAGCTGCTATAATACTAATCACACGTTAATCTTTTGTCCATTTTGCGTGTGTGATTAGTGACAAGAGCTTCATAGCTTCTTTCGTCTATTGTGAATTTTTGTAAACTCTTGTTCACTCTTAGAGATTGGAGGATGAGCTTCAATGATTTAGGAGGTAGCATGTTCCATTTTACTTTCAAATGAGTTAACTTTGAATTATTGAGCAATAGCTCAGAGAAAGCCTGCCCACTAATAGAAGTGACATGAGGATTAGATATTACAAAGAAATCGGTGAGGGCAGAATTGTGATGAAGGGATTTGCAAATGCAAGCCATCCCTTTGTCACTAACTGAAGAATATCTAATGATTAGCTCTCGTAGTGATGTATTTGCAACCATTAGGTCACACAGACACAAGACACAATCATGAGTTAGTGGTGTATTCCAAATGTACAATGAAACTGATTTGTTCTCTTGAAGTATGTGTGGTAAAAGACTCAGAACACTTTCAGGAGATAAGCGACTAAGAGCGATTGTGTGATATTTGCCACTGCTTAGCATAACTATAGCTTCCTTGCACTGAGATGCAGATAAATTGTAAAGTGATAAACTGTCACTGCTCCAGTTGATTTTACCAGTGATTTCTATACAAATTAAAAGTCATAATGGCATTATGCTACACTGAAATAATCCTTACTTTCTTTTTTCAATTTCTTTGCTTCTCTTAATGCATGTAATAGCATAGGATCTTCATCTATGGACTGTAAAAAAAGAGAAGCCTTTTCATCTTCTGTAAGTAACTGGCTCTTTAGCTCTTTTATGCAAGGAACGGGTACATGCTGATCCTCCATTGCATATTGAAATAGTTCAATTGATTCCAAATTTGACCGAACATAGCTACTAGGAACAAATCCCTCACAACCTGAATCCATTGATTTTCCTTTCCACCAAATTGAGTCATCAGTCTCAATTATTTCTATTCGCTCATTTTTAAAAAATGAAATAGAATATGTTCCGTAACCCGGATAATCCAATTGGGCAATGTAGACAACTTTCTCTACATTAATTAAAATATGAATAATTTCTATCATGTGCATGTGACAGGAGAATACCTTTAGCTATTTTTTTCATGAGCGGTATTTTCCATTGCAAAAATTCAGCTTCCCTTTTTGCCATTAAAGTTTCCTTTCTTCTTTCTAAACAATTAATATAATATTATCATATATGCATGTAGCCCATAAGTCACCTTGTTTCATTGCAAGAGATGTTTGAAAATGTTCTATGTCAAAGCTTTTTGTTTTTAATATTGTTTTTGTCAACTCAAGTCTAGAAACTAGCGTCATTTTCAACTCTGAATCTAGAGAATATACAAACAACGAATTAAGTATACTGACAAACAAACAATAAAACATGCAAAGTACCTTTTAACTTGTGCAAGTGTTCAAGGCCATATTCATGTTGTAACAATATTCCTATCATAACATCATTATAGTGTAAAAGTAAAATTACACTTGCTTTTTTTGTCTTTCTCAATTGAGCTTAAACTTTGAGCTTCCTCACATAATAGTTTTACATCTTCTGTAAGGTTACTTAATTCCTATTGTAAAAGTAAAGGTCGTGAATAAATAATAATAATTATTAGACTGTACCAATTCTCGTGTCTTTAAACTCATTACTACAAATTGACCAATTGTCATTTGCTTCAAGGAGAATCCTTTTGTCAAGGAGTTCAGATTATTCTGTGCTTCCAAGAGTAAAGCGTCCAGTAAATGACGTGGAACATAACAAATTATTTTGACAGAATGTCCTTCATGAATACTACTGACTATAATCCTCTTCTTCAAGTTATCATAAAATGCTTTCTTCAAAAGCAAGCGAATGTCATCCAACGAATACTTGTCAGGCTCCCATTCCAAAATAAACTCCAACATTTCACAGTCATCAGAGTTGGCAACTAGTGAAATCTTTTTATCTATCATCGTATCCAGTCTTATTTCAGAACAAAACACTTCAACTGCTTTTTGGTATTCATCAATTAGCTCTTCCGCTTCAGTAATATTGTAGCGTTTTACAATCCTTTTTAGAGGTGCAATATTGATAACATTGCACCTTTTTTCAACTGCACTCATTATACCTGCCACTGATGTGACAGTAGCTAGCTCATCACTTAGACCAGGACAACATCTTTGAACGTATTGCTTAATGTCATCGTCAACTGAAGAGATCTTATCAGTTACAATTAAGACAATGTTGTGAAGCAAGTCGCCAAATTTAACTTGAACTTCATCAAACTGACAACTGTATACTTCGCTGACAAAAACCTTTTCAA